CACAATATTTATATAAAAAAAAAAAAGTATGTGTAATATTAAATGGACCAAGTTGGGTCGATCTAGACGGACCAATCAATCAGCCTCAGTTAGGCGTAGACCTGCTTCTCGAAATGGCCTCGGCCCGGCCCGTGAAAGATTCAGACAGGTCCGATAATGGAAGGTCAGTCCAAGTAGGATCTGGAAGCTCGTTTTCAAATCCCGCTCCTCCTCCACCTCAACCCCCCCGGCAGCGTTCAATCATACCTAAAACCCTTACTCCACTTCGCGCAGAACCCCTCCCTCCTTCTTCACTATTTTCTCCAGAAAGACCATCTCAAACGTACAAGAGAGCTACCACTAATCAACAAATGGGTTCAAAAAATAGGAATCGGAATAAAAGAGCTAAGCCGGGGAATTCAGATGATGCTACGCTGCCTTCGAAGTCTCGGAACGGCCATCATCCCGGCGACAATGAATCCAAAATCATCAGTGATCCCCGGTTCGCGTCAGTGCACTCGGACCCGCGGTTTCAGAAGGTTTCGAAGCGGGAGTCGAAGGTGGCGATCGACGCTCGGTTCCAGCGTGCCTTCACCGACAAGCGCTTCGCTTCATCTTCGGCTCCATTGGACAAGCGAGGCAAGCCTAAGAAGGAGAAGAGCTCTGGAGATTCTCTACGACACTTTTACCGGATGGAGGAAGATGAAGAACAGAAAGAAAGAAGAAGACAGAGGGAGGATACGGATAGTGAGGAGGAGGCGGAAGAGCCTGAGGAAGAGAGTGAGGAAGAGGAATTAGGAGAAAGTGAAGGAGAAGAGGAGTCGGAGACTGAGTCAGAAGATGAGAAATTGGTGGCGGAAGGAGGTGAAGTGGAGTCTACTACTGATGAAGAAGAAGAGGATGAGGAGGTGGTTTATGATGATGGAGAGCCTGAAATACAGGTAAAATTTGAGCTTGCATTTGGATTTATTACTTTTAGTACAAATTAATTGCTTTAGCTGCTTTTTGCTTTGATAACGTAGAAAATTATAAATTATAATGAACATGAATTTTCCATGATTCTGAGATTCAAACTTTGAATATTGATGCTAGTCTTTGTAGTTGCAAGTCGGATGCACTTTTAGCTGTTCCTTCTGATAATGTAGGAAATTACAAATTATAATGTACATGAATTTTCCATGATTCCGAGTTTCAAAGTTTGAATATTGATGCTAGTTTTTGTAGTTGCAAGTTTTGAATAAAGAAGCACAAGTTTGGTGGACACAAAATTGAAAATACTTTTCTCAATTCACAAACTGATGATTCTCATGTATTCAAATGTTTGTTTAACTAAAAATAGGATATTGTTATTTCACTGCATAATGACATTCAATTCTTTTCTTTTTTTGGTAAGAAAAATTGGTGCTTCTTGTCATGACTTTACTGCAATGGATCAACTCGTCTTACTATTAGTGATTGAATTGACAGGAAGAGAATATACCTGTGATTGAAAAAGAAACCCGAAGGCTTGCTGTTGTTAATATGGACTGGAGGCATGTTAAGGTATGTTGCTCAAGTTCAGAATTGAGCTCTTTCTAAGGGTCATTTTTTTCAATATAAATTGCAGTGTATTGGTATCCAGGTATTGTCTTATCCGTGGATGGATTTGAGTTCCAATTTTTAAACCATTAATGGATTGAAAAATGTAAGATTCCCATGCAATTTCTTGAGTTAAGGGCAAACTTGCTGTGGGAGTATTTGAACTTTAATGCAGTATTTTTCATCCATTTGCTCATGCAGTTATGTCATGGTGCCTGCATGCATGTTCAGATGTTTCAAATTGTTTCTTGTCCTAGTGATCATTCCATGCAGATTGAGGAACTAGATAATAGAGTGAAAATATTGGACATCCATCCTTCATTTGTTTTTTTTTTTTGTTAGTTCTTTCAAAAGTTCCACACATTCTAATATTGATATTATAGGACATGAAAAAATCTGTTAAAAGGTTGCTGGGTGCTATAACGTCTGTGCAGTGGTAGTTCATGATTCTTTCAAACCTTCAAAGGGAATGCCACTTACTCCTATTTTCCTGATGATGCCATAGGCTGTGGATTTATATGTAGTATTGAGCTCATTTCTCCCTAAAGACGGGCACATTTTGTCAGTATCCATCTATCCATCTGAGTTCGGACTTCAGCGCATGAAAGAGGAAGAAGTTCAAGGACCTGTTGGGTTATTTGATGATGAAAATGAGGAAAAAGATAAAGATGATGACGATGATGATGAAATTGATAATGAGAAATTGCGTGCTTATGAGAGAAGTAGACTAAGGTGATTCATGTTCCTACTAGTTATTGTTTCTTTTATGGACCCTGCTAATTATCCCTTGGCACCTTCTTTTACAATCATTTTATCATCTCCAAGGTGTTATTCATTTCATATTAAATTAAACCTTTTTTAGATTTGTTTTAAATTATTCTTGGATATAGTTTATGTATATTTAGATAATGTTTGAGAAAAAAAGATCATTTTGTTGGGGAAGAAGTAGAAGAAGAAAACTAGCATTTCATTAGCTATGTTCATTTAATATTTTTATTTACTTTTTCCATCCTCAGATATTATTATGGTGTTGTAGAATGTGATTCGAGTGCAACAGCAGACTATCTTTACAAAGCTTGTGATGGAACTGAGTTTGAGAGATCGTCAAATGTGTTTGATTTAAGATTTATACCTGATTCCATGGAATTTAAACATGAAGCTTGTGATGTTGCTACAGAGGTATGTTCTCCAATTATATGATCTTTAGGGCCATATGAATAAATGAACTCATGGGCAGAAGAGTCATACTTGCTCATCCTGCCTCTAGTGATGGAAGGAATGTTATTTTGATGCCCATTCCATATAAAGATTGAATTGTGTCAAATTTTTCATGTTTTACCGTATGTGATGGAACTAAGTTTGAGAGATCGTCAAATGTGTTTGATTTAAGATTTATACCTGATTCCATGGAATTTAAACATGAAGCTTGTGATGTTGCTACAGAGGTGTGTTCTCCAATTATATGATCTTTAGGGCCATATGAATAAATGAACTCATGGGCAGAAGAGTCATACTTGCTCATCCTGCCTCTAGTGATGGAAGGAATGTTATTTTGATGCCCATTCCATATAAAGATTGAATTGTGTCAAATTTTTCATGTTTTACCGTAGGTAGATGCTGAATTTTTCCTCTGAACCTCCTAGCCTACATGTAGAGTTAAAAGCAACGTGAAGTTAACTGCTGATTCTTTATTCCATTCAGGGACCTTCAAATTATGAGGGTTTAAATTTTCAAACTCAAGCGCTGCAGCTAAGTAAAATTCGACTTTCATGGGATGAGGATGAGCCACAACGTGTGAAGACCTTGAAACGTACATTCAATGCTGAGCAGGTTGGTAGATTTGATTCCGAGTCGGTTACAAATATTACTTCTTATAATATTTTTTTACTCTCTGTGAATCAAGTCTAACACAAGGCAAAGTTCAGTTTTTTTTCTGTTGTCCTGCATTCTTCTCTTTTCCTGGCTTTGCATGATAATGTTATTTTCTAGCTGCTAATGCGATCGTCTGAAATAGTTGGCTGAGTTGGAACTGAAAGAGTTTTTGGCTGATGAAAGTGACATTGATGATGATGAGGATGAAATCACAGAGGATCAGTTTGACGAAAAACAGAAAAAGCAGGCCACAGGAAGCCACCCTGATGAAAAACTGAAAAAAAGAGATATTTATCGTGCATTGCTCCAGTCTGGGGATGGTTCAGATGAAGAAGGTAAAGAGGATGAAGATGAAGGCCAAGATATGGAGGTCACTTTCAATACTGGGTTGGAAGATTTAAGCAAGCGCATTCTAGAGAAGAAGGATAAGAAATCAGAAACTGTTTGGGAGGCATATCTCAGAAAAAGACGTGAGAAGAAGGCAGCCAGAAAAAATAAATCCAAGTATTCTTCAGAGGATGATGAGAGTAGTGACACTGATCAAGAAGCAATAGCAGAACAACCTGATGACTTCTTTCTAGAAGAACCTCCCGTTAAAAGACTTAAGAAGGATGTCCGAGGTAGGAGTGACAAAGAAGGAAAGCAGCATCAAGATACAGAGAAGGAAACAGAAGCAAGCAGAGCGGAGTTGGAATTATTACTTGCTGATGACAAGGGGGTAGAATCTGGTGTCAAGGGATATAATCTGAAACCTAAGAAGGTCAAGGGGAAAAAGGGGAAAGAAATTATACATGAGGACAAAATACCAGCTGCGGATTACGACGATCCACGATTTTCATCTCTCTTCACTTCACCTCTCTTTGCGTTGGATCCCACAGATCCACAGTTCAAAAGGTACTATAATAAAGAGAATACAACTTATTTGCTAAAATGTATGTCAGTTGGCCCATTTAATTAAATGATTTGAGAAAAAAAATCGGTGGATCATATGTCCCCACGATTGCTATAAAGAAAGTGCCTTGTTTTAACTGTAACAGTTACTGGATTCTTTGCTTTGATATTAAACATTGACTTCTATAGCCGGTGCTGAAAATCTGAGTTTTGGCATTGCAGGAGTGCAGCTTATGCTCGGCAAGTAGCACAGAAGCAGCAGAAGAGTGACCGGCAAGAACTGGTGGGAAGTGAGCCTAAGAAGTTGCCTAAAAAAGCTCAATTGCCTTCCGAGGAGGCTGAGAGGAGTGAAGATAAGCACACAAAAACTGAAGCATTACCATCAAAGGAGAAAATTGAGTTGTCTTCATTAGTTAAATCACTTAAGATGAAGACGAAGCAAGTTCAGTTACCTTCAAATAACGTGTCCTCCAAGAAACGAAAGAATGCACTCTAGATTTGCAGTGGAGAAGAAGACTTGAGTATCCTCCGCACTAAAGAAGACAGTAACTAAGTCAATACCAACTGAAACCAAGACAGATAAGATCTGCTTCCCCTGTTACAATGTGCACTGCGCACAAAGAGGCCATAGTCAGGCAGAGCGCGTTGGGTGGGGGATACGTCCGGAATGAATTTTTTTTTATAGAAATAAAGGGAGCTAAAATTTTGCCGGAATCTGGGATTCAATGATTGAGTTGGAGTACTATTTCAGAATGTTTTTTTTTTTTTTGTATAATTAAGTTCATAGGTTTGCATTTGCAAAAGATACTGTGGAATTTGGAGAGAAAAGTATGTTTACCATGTAAGAATTAATTATATCCATTTTTTGTTTCCAGTGGGAGGAATGAAAAGAGGGTCTGGAGATGCGTACTTGGTAGATGGAGATTTATCAATATATTTCATTATTCAATGGCTAGGACTGCAACTGGTATAATGAACATTTGAGTATATAGGGCTTCTACTTTTATCATCTAGAATCTCCTAACGAGTTCATTCAAGAAATGCTTTTAAATTAAAAATTAGTATATTTTCCATTTAATTTATACAAATAATAAGTATATGAAAAAAGAAATTCTTTTAAATTAAAAATTACCAAGATAACTAAAAATACATCTAAATTTTCTAATGAAGTACATTTTCATTCAAAAATATAAGATACAATAAGTTTCTTGCATGGCTTATAAGGGCAACAAAGAAAGTAAAATTTAAACTCAGTCATTTAAAAATGCTCTATCATTGTTTGTATGTGGTTCAACAATAAAATATTTACAACCCAATGCTCAAATGATGGAAGATGAAAATACGCCAAAAATAAATGGAACTCACCTGAGCTTCCTGTAATTTTACCCTAAACAAATGCCTACTGATAATATGTGGTAAGGACTACAGAGATTGATGATGAAGGTTCGTATTTAGAAAGAAAAAAAGAACAAAGAAAAGAGAAAAAAGCGCTATCAGGAAAAGATTAAAACTGGAAAAAGAAAGATAACGAGTGCCAATGTCAAGGGGTTCAACTGAGGTGAGCCATTCCCGGGGGTGGGTATGGCTGTGGCTTCTGGATTGACAGAAATGGCCGGGGGAAATGCCTTGGACTTTGGTGGGCTGACTGGTAAGCTGTTAAACTCATCACGAGAAAAACCTGCACATAAACAAGCTTGTCAACACAAATTTCAAAGATCACCCTCTGGAAACAGAAAACAGAGTGAATTTAACATGAAATCAAAATGACCACCATGGTAGACTAATAATACTCACAATCAGATGCCTTCCAACCCAGCACCATCTTCTCGCGGTCGAAGACAATTCGATAACCAGTCATGAAGTTTTCTGGATTGAGTCCAATAAATTCATGTCATAATCAACAATTATCCAATGCCATGCAACCAGGAGAAACCAAATTGAAAAAGGACGAGGGATCAAAACAAGCGTATATTACATTCCAAATGACACTGACTCACTGACAAAGCACTTTCATCAATATGAAAAGTAAGCTGCTAGATTATACACAAATCATAGTTGTCATGTTTATGTACTTACGTCCAATGATATTCACGTCTTCACTTTTGACAACACCCAAACAATATATATCTCCACTCTGGAAATCAAAAGAAACTTTAGCATATATTGAGAGGCAGGTGATAGATGTCAAATTACACAGAAAGTTAAGCTTTGTAACCAAACCCGAAAAAGGGGGTGAGAGAAAGAGATAGCAAGGCCTTACATCCATAGATATTACTAGTACTGGATCATTGACAAGGAACTTTTCTCCACCTTTCATTGTCAGACTCACTATAGGATATTTGAAGCTTTTATTATTTGGACTGCACGTAAAGTTAGAGATTGAGGACTCGAAATGAAAAAAGAAAAAACTAACAAAATATTGGTATGTAACAAGATAAACTTATACCTCAAATCGTAACAGTACTCGAAAGGAAGACCAGAATCAGATGAATGCCTCTCCTCCAAAGCCAAGGTATTAAACTGCCAAATAGCACAAATTATCAGTTGTCATACAGTAAATTCTGACATTACTACCAAGAATTCTGCAACTTAAGCTACTCACACTCTCAGAAATTAGCGTATAAGCTGGGTCATTCAAGTACGTAAATGAGGTGCCAGAGTCAAAGATTGCACTGAATTCAAGATCAGCAACATTCCCCCCCACACTGATCTGACTGATGCTGACGTTATATGCGGGACTAATCAGGAGCCACATGGAAAAAAATCAGCACACCCAGCATTATATGCAGATCAAACATATTAGAAATGCCAAATCAGTGAAATCATCACCAGCATGGTTGAATAGGTGATCACTTACTGTGTTTGCCTAAGATTGAATGGTGTTTCACTTTGGTTAGCGCTGCCTTTATCTCCGAAACTAATCCTCCCAATTCCATCATGTCCAAAACACATTGAAAAAGAATTTGAGGCAAGCCCTGCTTTTGATAACATGCTAGGAACAGAGATATCAGCCATCCCAAGGCCAAAAAGACCATTGGGAGCTGCACCATCCAAGAATGAACCTGTCTGAACCTGACCACAACTGCAAAAAGGAACAGATCTTTATCCTGGGTCTTTTAACTGAAAAAGGATATTTAATTTTGATTCCGTATTTGATTTCAACTGTGAGTTATGCGAAGGAAATTATGTCGTACTATGAGACTATCATGATTTGACTACCTAAAAGCAAGCATGTTTTGCAACTTTCTAGAAAGTTCATGGGGAATGCCAATATTTACCCTGAAGTTTCCAACAGAAGATTGATGAAAATTACCTACCCAAATGTAATCGGGGCATTGACAGCTTTTGATTGTTTATCTTCTGAAGTTAAATGTAATAAATCCTCCACCAAGATCCCAGTAGATGAGGTGCCATTAGAGAGATATCGAACTTGATAGGGACAATTACTATTGGGTGAAGGACATTGGGTTTGTCGTGCACACAAAGTATTGTTACAGGGAACCTTTGAGGCTGTTGATGATGTATTGGTGCTATATATATTGAAGTCTATCTGTTGTTTGACAAAAGACTAGGTGAGGAAGCATGGAAATCAATGATACAATAAATCATTCTACGTTAAGCTATCGGGCATTCAAATCAGTAAAGATTCAGCGTTCTAGTTGATGGAAAATGTGTCATTCGCAAAACAATAAATGCCATAAGATCCATCATTCTGCATATGATCACAAGTGATATTCTAAGGTAAATACACAAGTAAACAACAGTGTCAACTCTTGAAGGATGTTTCATATCTCAGCTCCATCGTAAAGGACAAGAAAAATAGATGCACAGACGGTCATCAATTCAATTCTATTTAGATGGGTCTTAAATAAACCTTCTCCAACAAATTCAGCTCAAGTTTCGGACTTTGAGATAGTAACTAACCTAGAAGCCAGCTTAATATTGAAAGAGAGTTCAAACAAAGTTTCAAGGCCATGGAAAAGAACAGCACACCTGTCCAGTTGATGACTTCAAGCCGTGCACACAACTAGTACAATCACATGGTAACCAGAATAAATCACTGCCGGTGTCTAATGCTACTAGAAACGATAAAGCTGGCGTCCCCACCGAAACATTGGCATAATGCAGACTGAGATTCCAATAACATATTCAGAGAAGAAGAGATTAGTTCAAATAGTAATTATTTTCTTACTTAAAGAGCACCAGAAAAAAAAAGTTATGAAAATTTAACCTTTGTTTAATAACCAATTACGAAATGTACAATCAAGGAAAAGGAAAGATTGCATTTTTTCTTAACTGACGGAAGATCAAAATAATCACGACTCCTTCTGAAAAAATCATAACCAACATGTTTTTATATTAAAGCAGAAAAGGAAAGCTTGAGCTTAATTAATTCGATTCTTTACGCGTTTTTCTTCTTTCCCCTTAAAGTAAACGTTTCCTTCCTTCATTTTTCATCACCGAAAACTTTCTAAGCAACTAGTTAAGAGTAAACTTAAATACAAAAACTACACACATAATTACCTGAGAATTTTAAAATAAAATAAAAAGAACAATAAAATAGAAGTTGAAGGCATAAACCGTACAATCCGAGAACTTCGATTCGGTAAGTGTCGTTGCCGTTTAAGAAAGTGAGTGCCGTGAGCGGTGTCTGTTGCTCGAGGGAGGCGAGTCGACGGCCCCTGATCAAGCGATCGCGGTGGGCCATGACGGCGTAATAGTTGACACTTCCCTTTTCCGGCAGCTCATCAACGGCCAGGATTCCCTTAACCGGATCCGAGAACCGATGATGAACATCAAATCCAAAGGTCCCAAACGCCTCACACTTGCTCAAACCCCCCCAACCCGACACCACCACCAGCAGCAACAAAAACAAAGTACTGCTGTGACTGCTATACCCAGCCATGATCCACTGGAGTCAATTCCGGGAAAGTTGCGACTCTCAGTTGGGAGGGAATTGAGGCGAAGCAAAATTTATTGTTTGGCCTTTCAGGGTTTGAATGAAGTAGTGAGCAGTGGATGTTTTGCTTCTGTGAAGCTAAATGCCAAAAAAAAAAAAAAAAAAAAAAAAGTCAAAGTCTTTCGCTGTTGTTGCGAGGACGAAACCGCGCTTCATGTTTTAGTGCCATAACCGCGTCTGTGTGGGTCCCGCCAGTTTGAATTATTAAATTAGTGGTGGTTTATTTTTAATTTTTAATTTTTAATCTTTAATATTAACCCCGTTAGGCTGTTCTTTTTTCCCTTTC